CCCCCCAAGACTTTTATATCAGGAATAAATATATATTTTCTTCAAAAATGCATTAGCACTTCTTTCTGGGTTATGTCTCAACGAATGGCACAGAAGAAATTTTGAAAGCAAATCTGTGGTGAAATTCAAGGCAGGAATGCAGCAGAACAGAGTTTCCATGGTATGAAGACTGCAAAGTAATTGGTAACTGATCCAAAACCTTGGAACGAGCAATTTGTGGCAATTTCTATGTAATGTTATCGATAGCATGTAGGAAACAAACACATACATGCACACATGCCTTTGAGAAAAAAATACCCAACCTCTTGGTACACACTGACACTGCAAGCTATATGCGTAAGAGTTTAATAAAATGTTTGGGGCCCATGCTAACTTTGATTTGTAGAGCTTTGAGTCATGCAGCCCATGCTAATGTTACTCTATGCTGCCATGAATACACAGAATAATTTTTAAGACCAGCTCGCTGTGTTACACTCATAACTCTCATTTTATTTCAATTTAAATTGTGTGTTTAATCTCTTTTGAAGGTTTCAAAGATCCTATCCAGCTCTTTTTTTGGGCACAGGATCTCATTAAAGGATGCACTGTAAATTCCATTCCACTGTGTTCCTCCCTTTTCCACACTTTTCTTTCTGCCTGTCCCTTTATCTGCCTTTTCTGGTCTCTCTTTACTAATTTTCAGTCATTCCTTTAGCCTGCCACCTGTTCTCTGCTTTCACGTATATACTTTGTAATACTCTCCAACATAGATCTTTTCCCTGCTGTTCCTATTTAACTCTCCTGGCACCATCAGTGTTCCATGCCACCACAACACCACAGGATTGTAATTTGTGTGTTTACCTTTGCCTTCCACTTACTAGGATAAAATCTCTCTGTCTCACACCTTCACCTTTCGTTAACTCTGATTTCCTATCCTCTTCAATTCCCGCTACTCCAGAAAAGGCAGGAGGAGGAATGAAGCGCTTGCGGAGGCAGTGCTGGCTGTCACAGATTGATTGACAATGAGCACGGTGCCTCCAAGCGCTGAGATGCTGCAGTTTGTAGAGTGAAGTGAGACCTTGGTGCCCGGTACGCCCTCCTTGATTGAACAGACATTTTGAGTGTGGCTGCCGATCACTGTTAGCCCAGTGACTCCCTGCATTCTCCTCACTTTCTTCTCCCAAGCTGTCAGACTGGCAAGACTCAGGAGAAATCACAGGTTTCTTAATTGCATTTGTGCCTGCACAGAAAGAAAACTTAAATACAGGCTGGTCAGATCTGTAGAGATGATGGAGAATATTTTGCTCCATTCTGCACTAGTGTGGGCTCTTTGATTTGTGCCTGGCAGCTTCCTTATTCCTGAGGAGAGAAAGATAAACTGTGGCTTTGTATGGATGGGGAATACGACAAAGCAAAAGGAGAGAAAAGGAAATTCATTATATTTATCTGTGCAAACATTTTCATGTACAATTCATGCATTGGGCCCACTCCACCAGCAAATCTATCCTGGATGGCTCTATCTTGAATTTATAGAAAAAGCTTGTTCCTATATATACACAGTCAGATTGGAGCCTTTTATTGGTGCTGATCAGTCTGTCCAGACTCTTCTGACTGCTCCTTGCTCAGAGTCAAGGCATCATGGACTGTTTTGAATGGCTATTTAAGTTGTGAGTGGGCTTTGGTAACCAGGCAGTCCAGAGGGAACGTGCAGCAGCCACAGGCAGTCTGGACTGTGAATCTGACTCAAAAGTGGTCACATTTTTCTTTGACTCCACAGGATAGACTCACCTTTAAGAGGTCATTTTCTAGTCAAACCAAAGACAAAAGTTGACTAAATCAAGATGGTCCAGTGACTCTTGGGAATCCTAGTGCCGTTAGGGATCGGAGAGAAAGCAGAAGCCACAGACAGTCCTTCCCCCAGGTTATGGGTGGCTCTATGGGCAGCCTTAGTTTATTTGGCTCAGTGGCTCACAATTACTGAAATAACAAGTTGCTTTCTTCTTTTTTATCGCAAAGTCTCACGGGAAGCTTGATTTGCATACAGTGACTCAGAAAGCTGCCTGCTAAGCTGCACGTACTGTATGTCTGTCTGGAACAAGTCAGAGTAATTTGTCCTCTTGTTTACAGCAGCCTATTTATAACAGTATGGAGATGACCCAAGGATACACCAAATCCACCCTCCAAATACCCAGAAAGGGGCTTTTCACACTCATCACAAAGCCACTAGAATACTATAGCTCCCTCAACTCCTCCTTCCAAATGAAGATGATCTCCAAGGGCAACAGGGAGCAGAGTGGATTAGAGCAGGTTTTGATGAAATACATCAGTAAGAATATTTGTTGTATCATGATCAGAGTAAGAATCCACCTGTCCCAAGATGATACAAAGCCCAAAGGATGGAGGACTAGTGTCCTTGAATACCTAAGGATTATGATATCCACTATTACTATTTTCCCCAGAAATAAGTTCTTTGCAAAGGGTAATGTCCTGAGTGATGCAGACGGTTGATCTGTGGCTTTCAGGAATTTTGTTTAAAAGCTTCCAATGCTCAAAACTCCTAGAATGGAATCTATACAACTGCAACCTTTCTCAATCAGATAATTTCATCTCCTAATAATAACTGTTTCAGAAAGCACCATATGTCATGTATGTAGAACCAACAGACCTGTAATGAATCATATATGTATATTCTAAATTAATTTTCCACAGGAGTAATTTTAGGTGTCCTATATTAGCATCTCCTGCTGGTTAAGGTTTCCCCCGAAGAATTAGATTAACAGTTCTCCAACCTGTGCACCTTCAAACAACTGCTTCTTCCCAGACAAGGAAACAGGTTTTTCCTCTCTGTTAAGAGTTATAATATTCTTCACAAGAACTTGAAAAGCCTAAGGGGGCAATTTTTATCCAAAATTTTGTCTCATGTACAATTTCTATTTTGCATTAGAAGAAGGTCAGTGTCACTGCTCTGGAGAACAGTGTGGGTTTCTTAATAAGGCATGTCATGCTTATTTTTGACCTTGTTACTAGACTGAAATTAGTGACTATATGAATACATATCACATATTTAATATACAAATATAAACATATATGTCTGCACACACACCATCAGTTATACATATTCATGCACAGTTATGTGCAAACAACTATTTAATTTTATTTTTACATATATATATTTACAAGCATGTTTGTATATATACTTAAACAAACACTCACATATGTAACTTGTAAGCATTTTACAGTCATGGAGCACTTCCTAATCTTTCTGATGTCTCTTTCATGATATCTAAAGTATTTGGCTGAACAGCAGTTTTGATTCCTGGAGCAATGACAAATACAAGGTGTGAATTTTGCAATTCATGATGGAAAGAAACAGAAGAATTCTGTATGAAGCAATACAACCCCTTTGATTTCCAAGGACGATATGCAGAACGGGGTTAAAGGTGGCTTGTAAGGTCTTGAGAGATCAGCAATGCTACTTACACAAACACTATGTACAGAAAAGCCATATATGTAATTTTTCAATAATTCTGACGTATGTTTGCAGCGTTCCCTATCTCTAAGGCTGGTCATGAAGGATTGGTAGGGTTGACTGTAAAACTGATGCAGAATGGAAAAATTTACCCCCTTTTTATTTTTGGTACCCAAGTCTCAATCTGTTCTAGTCATGTTTTTGTTCAGTTGCGTGAGCCAAACAGTCTTGATACATGGTATATATACCTTTGGCAATATACAAAGGATTCATTTTTTGCCATTTGTTATTTATACTATGCATCTGGTCATCTAAGTCATATGCTTCCCATTTTTCACTGAATGACAAACTTTTCAAGCAGGAGGACAGATTACAAGTGATGCAGAAGTGCTCATAACCACAAAAATCTTCACCTGAACATTTTGAAAATGTTCATTAGGAGAGAAATATAGCAGAATAAAGCAGAATCTGGACAAGTATGTGCAGATGTCATTCTGTAGTGTTTTGTCAGGTCTAAGATTAAAGACTCAAAATACAAATAGGTGAAACAAGGAACTCAGTATTTTTGCAAATGGTTTTACTTTACAAAGAATTGCATGTCGTGAGTTAGAGACTGGGATTAAGGTTTTATGACATTAATTTGGGAAGATTTACTAACTTATGAGAGATTTTACTTCCCAGGAAAGTGATTCTCCCAAAATTTAAAGATGTTATGCCAGGTGTCAAACATTCTCTAGCTATATCACAGCAGTAAGAACAGAAATCTTCCCACTATTTTCTCAGTTTAATTTGTGGCTGCATTTTGTTGTTTCCTGGCAATCTCACTTCAGGTCCTTGAGCCTTCTCCATCCAGAAGGAGTGGGAAAGAAGGGGAGGTAACAAATATGATTATTGGTTGAGAGCAATACAAAGCTCTGTCTTCCCAGAGAAAAGATGTCTTCAGTAGTATGTGACAGTAGTGGAAGGTAGCAGGGAAATACATCTTGGAGTGCAGCAAGTTTAAATGATTGTTCCTTAGCCTTGGGCAGCTTTTGGGCCCACTTGTGCTATGCTCCCTCAGTGTAACAAGAACAGAGCTGGCAAAGAGTTGCTTTCCCATGATGCAAAAGAACAGCTCATGCCATAAAAACATCACCTGGAGTGGGCATGTGAGCAGTGGGCAGTGGGGGCTTGCTCCTGTTGCTTTGGACAGAGGAGTTAGAAAGGGTTCTGCTTGGGGGAACACCACCAAAACCATCATAAATGTGAACCTGTCTCTTTATAGTTATGTAGAGTGATCGAACAATTTTCTTGTGCCCATTAACGTATTGACAGGCATTCTGAACACTGTGGCTATCTTAGACGCTGTGGCTTGGAAGGGAAACAGTGGAGAAAAACGTGGAAGATAAACTCCAAGCTGTCAACAGTGATTTCTTCTGATTATGAGCAGTGTGGAGACAATATACTACTGACATCAACAGAAGTTTGCCTGTACCTCAGTATACTTTAGATAGTTGTGTGTTTAATGCATTCTGAGTCACAAAACTAACTTCCCTTGCACAATCCTTTGAAAACTACACCTGAGACTGTGAGGAGAGCTGGACATCTTTTCTTTTATGATGGAAGAGCATTTTGCACAACCAACTCTACGTTCCGCTGCTCTCAAGTTACGTTTCACTCCATAGATCCGCATTCCCAACATTTCATTTCTAGATACTTATGCAAATCATACATGTAGCATGACCTCATTGCAAGACCTTCAGAATATTTTGTCTCACAAAATCCTTTTAGATTCCTGAAGTGCTAGTATTCTTATCTTACAGGCTAGAAACTAAGGCTTAGAGATGATGTTATTTGCCAGGGTCGCAGAAGAAAACGATACGCAAAAATCTGAAAATCAGACTTTGGAATTCCAAGTCAGTGATGTAACTATTGGAATGGTCACACTGTCCACTTTGGGATTTAAGACCCTGCAGACCTTTTTCCTCCTGCCCTCCCACATAATTAAATTGGACCTTGAAGCTTTGTAATTCCTCATTAGGTTTTGTCCTATGATTTTACTTAACAAATATTTTGTTTTGAATACCTTTATTCCCCTCCCAGTCACAACCACTATGCCTGTTCCACCTTTGCTTTTCCTTCTGCATCCATTTGGTAGCAAATGAGATCAGTAGAAGCTGCTGTGCTAGAACTCCCATGAGTCAGAAAAACCCCACTAAGGATTTTTAAACTTCTGACCCTATCTTCTCCCTCTGCTTCATTGAATTGCTTAAAAATTCATGCACTATGCAAGGTTTGAGTCTAGTTTCTCCATAAGCAGCATAGACTATATTTTGTTATGGCAACATTTTCTTGCACTGTTAAGGGGAGATGCACACTTCTTCCTATTGCATTGTGCACTTCTGATTTCCTGAATGCTCGGAGAGCACTGGATATTTATTGAGTCTTTCATTAACCTGAACTCCTTGTCTACATCAAGATTCAGTTTCACAGACCAGTTCAGAGCATGGCTGTTCCCCAGTCCTGTACCTCCTTTCCTCTTTTCCTTGACATTCAGTCTTCAAGAGGTCTTACTGGTTGTGTTCTCTCCTCAACTCTACTGCCTTGTGCTTGGTGGCAGAACTATCACATGCAGCTGAGATCATGCTGACCCCGTAAGTGAGCAATCTTGTATGCCAGCAGCAACAGTAGACTGAGTCAGGTGTCGTAAAAAGTGAAGTGTGTCTGGCAGCTACAAACCTCATTACATCCCAAGCAAAGGCCTTACACAAAATGATGCTCCCCTGGTGCAAGAACCTAGCCTTCCCATATTTCTTTACAACTTCAAGTACAATCCTAGAGCCAAATTGATAGCATGCAAGAAGTAGGCTGAAGGCTCTTTTCCTGATGGAGACAAATTGCGAATGCTAGCTACTTTCAATACCATGCTCACTGTGCTTTGGCATTTGGAGAGATCCTTAAGCATGGATTTCTTGGTTTCTATTGTTTGTATGTTCTGCCCCAATGCTATTTCAGTGTACATTTTAATGAGTGAATTTATTATATAGCTCACTGCACAAAAATTTCAGTTACATTATTAAAAACTCCCTAGTACTGATTTTTGGATCAGATATTTACTGCATGTATTTTGAATCCACCGTTGGCTATTGAGCAGTTTTTCTCAAATTTTTTTTTTTTTTTTGTTCTTGGTCCTGTCTGGGAATAAAGACTAATATGGGTCTGCCTTCAGTACTGCTGCCTTTTTTTTTCCCTACCCTGTATTCCAGACTAAAGCACAGACCTCTCTTAAACCCAGAGAGACAAGATAAGCCTTTGCTGCCTGGCAGCATTTCAGAGACATTAAGTGTAAGAGAGAAGGTAAGTAATTCACCATGCCTCCCCATTTCTGTAATGGGGGAAGACATCTTGATACATTTACAATACTCCTCTGGGGATATTTCATCAGTTATACCTAACTCTAATGGACAAGAATTGATTTGAACTTTCTACTTAGCACAGAGCTGTAAACACCTTCACTCCAGGTTGCAGCAATGAACTGGTGTTGTTTTGTAAAATTGAGAGAAATTTGGAAAACTTCTGTGTTGATCTATCAAGTAACCTAGTAGCTGAATGATCCAGGGGTTACTAGCTTGTCTTCTCAGTTTTAATAACAGAGAGAGCAGTTGTTAACCTTGATGATAAAATTTTTCATTCTAACGTCTCTCTTGCGTTTTTGTCAGGGTATTGACATTTGAGCTATTTAATTTACTTTCCGTTGAGATTTTTCAAATCAGGATGCACTCTGAGAAGGTATTTTTATTGTTCTATTTGATGTCAGGTGCTTATTTTTGTAGTTTTCAGAGCAAAAAGTCTAGAGGACTCTTTGTCCTGCTGTAGTGCTATCTGGTAATGTTTAAAATCTATCAAAACATAGCATCCAAGGCTCTTGGGGTATTCCCCCCACCATCAAGTTTTCTATTGGTTGGTACCTTAGGCAGTTTTATTCCTGGGCATGAAAGCAAAATTCCATCATTTTAAAAAATTTGGCAAATACAGTATTATATCTTTGCCAAGGTTTGCAAAGTGAAAATACAGAGTTCTTTGTAGCTCTGCTAGGGAGCAACTAAGCAGCTACTGTTATCACATGCTGTATTTTTTAATGCCTGTTGTGTTAGAGATTATCTAGAAAGGGTGAAACTGGGGCAAATGATCACATCAGTTATCCATATTTTAAGATCCCTATTTTCAACATACTGGTCATCATGGTGAGCTACGAAAGCACTTTTGTAAGGCATTAACAATTCTTTACGGATAATACCAATAGTCAGAGAAAACAGATAAGCAAAGGCGATACGTTTTATACTAATTCTAAAGTTAAAAATCAGGCAAACATAAGCAAGAAAAGCCAAAACGACGACCATCTCAGCTCAACCTTTTGTTCCTCTGAACTAAAGACGTTATTCCACACAATTGTGTTTATGTGCTGTTTCCTTGTATTGAAGACAGAGAGAATTGCCTTTTTTTTGGTGGACCATCATCAGGAACTGCTGCTGAAACAAGACAATAGCCTTGAAAGCTTTGCCATGGGGCCACAGAATTGCCTCTAACACAGGCAGGGCAGAAGATGTCAGCCGCCACCACCCTCCGACATTGAACAGGATCACAACCTATTTCCAGCCGGTATGAACACTGAGAGCCCAATCCTCACAGGCCCTTCTTATTTTGGTAGTCTCACCAACACTGGTGGTATTGGCCTTTTGTTACCAATTTTTCTAGTTGCTAGCAAGAGATGACTTGAACATATATCGAAACAAAATGGCAGAAGGCAAGACTGCCACGAGGCTACTGTAACTTTGATACTGTGAATGGTGGGGATAAATAATGAAAACCAGCCTATGTACCTTCAGAAAGCTGAGAACCACAGTATTGGATACACAGCTTCTGTATCTCTGGCATTTTAAGAGAGAAAACCTGCTAATTTCCTGCTGGTCCCATGTTAGAGCAGAATTTTTGGCATCCATCCAGCACCAAATTTAAGGACTTAGTAGCAAAAACTAGGTCTAAAGTTTAAAACCTAAATTTCGCTCTTTGCTTTCTACTGGTCCTACAAACGTGGCAATAGGGAAACTGGACTACTGCTATTAACAGGCTGTGTTCTTGTCTGCAGTTTGTAAACATCTGATTAAAATGTGTATTTTCATATTATAAGGGTCAGGTGAACCACATTTAATGCCAATATGTTTCTGCTTATTGCTTTGGTGCTTTTATTCTCTGATTTTTTTTTTAATAGTTCAGTTTAACTTGATTTTATAACAAGAGACACAGCTGTATTTTAAATGTTTTATAAAGAGTTGCTCTAAGATACACATTTCTTGACCCAGTACCTCAATTTAGCATCCTTCTTGAGACAAATCTGCAATTTGGGAATGGCAGAAGATGAAGAGAGAGAGGTGCTAGCACAAAGGATTTCATCTTAATGCTTCGCATTCCAACACATTTCAGGGAGAAACTGCTAAAAGGAACTGGCTCTTCTAATACACCCCTTATCGTGAAACCACAAAGACAGACTGGAATGAATTTTTAACTTCTGTAGTGATAACATTTGCCCCATCTCTTCTATCCTCATGGATATCCTGGGAAATGGATCCTGGATGCAATACAGAACGCTAGCTGCCAATTACTGCTTCACAGACCAGCATCTAGCTGGTAGTGGGAAGCAGCAGAACCTCCTGGCATTCAGTACTTTAGAAGGTGCCCATCCGCAGAGATGACACCTGGGACCAGAGGGATGGCTTGTTTGCTCAGGAGGCATTAGGCACTGAAGCACTCAGGCATGGACGGATTCTTCCATTCGAGTGGAAAGAGCCTACGAGAAATTGTTTATGGTTTTAACCACAGTGGTAAACAATTTACAAGCTTCCAAAACAAGGTTTGCTAAATTAACTCGAAAGATGACCACTTGGTCTTTCAAAGCAACTGAGCAATCTTTGAATCTCCTTGTTTCTCCAACTAATTTTAAGAACAGATTGCATTTTTTGGTTTGGTTGTTTTGTTTTTTTTTTACTTTTGGCTAGGAGCACCTACACCTTCTCAGTTCCCTGAATGCTCTAGGATTCACGTGAAGCATAATCCTAGATGATATGTCACTACACCCTCTCTGTGGAAGGTGTCTAAAAAGGATCTTAATCAGCTGAAAATCATAATGATCTCCTCCAATATAAACAATGATGACAAACAAAAAGATATTCTTTACAATGCCTCAGTATTCCTATCCTTATGTCTTTCCTCTTTTCTTTGATACTGTCTATTCCCCCTCAAACTGGAAGTTAAGGACAGACACTCTTATTTCTACGGGTTTGCTCTTTGCTTTTCCAACCACTGTTGCATCCTTTTTTCTTTAACTCTTTTCTGGGATTTAGAAACCTTTCTTATGGATCTGCTTGGCCTGGACTTGTGCTTAGTGAAAAGTATTTTTTTCACTTGAACAACTTACAACTTTGCTCATTTGGGCACATTCACCTTCCTGCATCTTACACTTCACCATACCATGTCTCTGATACGGTAAGAAGTCTTTGTGAACCTTTCAGTTTTGAATTTTACAGTCTGCCTTGAATTTTCTTTCTTTTCTTCCTTTCTTTTCTTTAAATCAAAACAAAATATGTTACCATTATGTATCTGTTCTGCTATTCAGCAGCATCAGAAGTGTTTCTGAAGGAATTCTCAAACACTGCAGTGTGGCCTGGGCCAAAGAGAAGTTCTTTAAAGGCATATTATAAATGAAAACACTCTCCATAATAAATGCTATTTGCACAACTGCTTGACTTCTTCCTTCTAGCCATTCACTAATGAAAATAATATTTCTAATTTACCTAAATAAATAAATAAATTGTAACGTCTGGCAATATTCTCATTCCTACCAAATAATTTTAAAAGAATGTATTAAAATGCAGTGTGATGGATTTATTTTCATGAAAACAGGGAGGAAGACAATGAATCTGGTAAGACAAGATGCCAAGATCTTTATACACAACATTCTTGAAAATCTATCTCTTCCCATTCTATTTAAGAAAAAAATTTTGCATTGAAGCGGCTTAATCCAAGGTACTATAAACTTAGGAATTCAAACTAGATGACCATTTTTTCAAATAATTCTTAGATACAAACCCATCTTACATATGGTTCCTAGTCATGGACTCCAATATTATATTGCTAAAGGAAGGTATAATTTTTATCGCTTACCCTCTCCAAAACTTTCCCCAAGTGGCAGCCCACACATCTGATCTTGATATTTTTCACTTGTGATTCTGGATAAATGCAACAATTGTCTGGGAGATACTGCAAGGTCCCTTTACACAGGGTGAATTGGGTAAAGACTCAAAATAAGTGGTGCCAATCCTTTATCCATCTGGTTTATGACTGTTCCAGATGGAAGGAGGCTATTAGAACACCACTCTTAACTCACAGCAAAGGCGGAATATAGTCTCCAAATTAATGATTTGCCATATGAGCGACCTAAGCTTCGTCAGAAGGCCAAGAAAGTATTTGGCCCACTCGAAAATTTTCATATCCGTCTCGAAATGGAAAGGACCAGATTAACACTTCCTGAAGTTTAGCAGCAAAAGGAGCTAGGACAGCTTGACAATGCCTGGCAAAAGCAAGACGGAAGTCAGCCCTTCAACTCTTACGCCAGCTAAAAACACAGGTCTTCAGCCCACAATATATTTTAGGACAGACATGCTCTCCTGTGGCAGAGCTTTCCAATCCAGTCATGCAGGTGCAGCCTCTGACATCCAGCTTTGCTTAAAATGAGAAAAGCTACCAAAATGAATTACTTTCATTTTTGTTCCATTGTTATGTTATGCAACTAGTGCGGACAACTGATGCAATCATGAAGCAAAGGAGGCAGTACCTGGGGGGTGACCAGGGGGCACCCGAGCTGCTGGGGCAGCTGAGTGGCAGGGCAGGGCTCAGCACACAAAGGGCCGGATGAACAGGAGGAACCCAAAGCTTCGAGTGACACCTAAAGGCAGCTGGGATAATAGGGACCTTTAAAGAGGTCTTTGAAAGTGGAATGTGGAGCAGGGATAGCAGGGGTACAGGAAAGGCATTGCTGAGGATTTTTCTGTTCGTTAAGTGAAGTAAAATACAGCCCTCGCTCATTATGGAGGCAGGCAGCCTCGCCTGGCTGATACATCTCATCAGCCTATTAATAAAGCTCTGCTCGAATCTAGTTTCACAAGGCAACCCATCAGAGTCTGTGCTTCCAACGCGTGGTACAGACGCAGGGCTATGGAAAATCTCACCCTCCAGAGAGACCTGAGTGAGGCAGTCTTTTTCATTAATACCAAGTCTGCACAATGAATCAACAACAGATTCAA